CCTTTTTTTTTTTTTTTTTTTTTTTTTTTTTTTTTGTGAGAAACGGCCCGAGTTGATGATAGGGGTGCTGATACGAGTATCAGCAGGCACCTCTAGCACTCTCGGGGGCTCCATGGAAACAACTGACCCAACACTCACCCATTCATACTGCCGCATTCCCCCCAACACAACGCACCCAGATAATGAATCTATTATAGAAGCGATCCTTCCGGTCAGGTACAGCCATTATGAGGGTGAGAAGACGCTAGCCCCCGAGGCCCCCATTGCGCTATCCCAACCACTGTCAAGGGAACAATATCCCTCGTTTATGTTTATTTTGACAAAAAAAAACAAAAACAAAATTCGCCATACCACTCACAAAACGAAAACGTACCAGTGCTGCTCGTTAGTGCTCGAAGTGCATCTTCCCACAATGGGTGGCAACATACATACATCTGTTATTATGAATCGAATGCATTCTGGGGAAAGATACACTCGTTTTTGTGTGTTCGTGAGTGGTGTGGCGAGGCCCATTGTCTCTTCTTCTTCTTCTTCTTCTTTTTTTTTTTTTTTTCTTTTTTTAACAGCCCGAACAGATGCTTGGGATGCTGGTACGAGCAGGCACCACTAGCACTGCTGGGAAGGCTCCATCTATTGGTGGGGAGCAGCACCGGCTGGAAAGCGGGTCCAGCGTCCCTGAACATTGTAGATGTTTGTGATTGTAGCAGTTGGATGTGATTGTAGCAGTATCAGTTAAGATAAACCCTTAAACCCTAGTGACTGTCCTTCTTCCTATTGCCCGGGGTGCAGTGACAGTTGGATGTGTATTGTGTAACTGTGGAGCTGATGTGGGGTGGCTCAACCACCCCCTGTCCCCTCCCTCCCAAAACCCATGACGTTCGTGCACTGTGCAGTGCTGTGACAGTGTGAGGTGTATTGTGTAAATATGAAACTGATGTGGGGTGGCTTCCGCCACCCCTTATTCCCTCCCTCCCAAAACCCACAATGTATTTTACCATCTAGTAAGGCTCATCCTTGCGTGCTCACCCACATAATTATTATGTCATCAGGGTATCATTGTACTATCATTATTATCATTATTGTGACCACCTGTGTTCCCTTGTGTTGATGTTGCCTATATTGTCTTCTAGACTCTGACAGTAACTGTGGAGCTGATGTGGGGTCACCGTGGCTTCCACCACCCCCTGTCCCCTCCCTAAACCCATGATGTCTTGTGCAGTGCTGTGACAATGTGAGGTGCAAGTATTAAACTGATGTGGGGTGGCTTCCGCCACCCACTATTCCCTTCCTCCCAAAACCCATGTATCATTATATTATCATTATTATCATTATTATCATTATTATCATTATTATCATTATTGTGACCACCTGTGTTCCCTTGTGTTAATCTTGCCTATATTGTCTTCTGGACTCATCCTAGCTTGCTCTTGAACGTCCTCGTGTTCCCTCCAGTTCCCCCCTCCCAGCTGTCTGATCTAGTCCAATCCCGGGGGATTCCCGGGCCCTAGCCCAGCTGCACAATCGAACAACCCATGACTAAACAAAAATATAGAACAGAAGCCCAACTGTCCCTCTCAAAAACCCTAGACCTTGTAACAGTTGCTTCCTACACGGACCTGCAGTACTCTTTTTGTCGCTTCTACCCAACTTTACCCTGCTGGAGAACGGGTCCAGCATCCTGTTAAAGTTGGTTAAACTGGTATCCACCTCCCATATAGCTGAGCTAAACTGACCTTTCAAACCTGACAACCCCAGCGGGCCCAGCCTAGTTGTCTGCCTTAAACCCTAAACCCTAGCCCTCCCTCTCTTCAGATACCCTGTGGGATGCCTTATTACATATTGGAGGTCCTTTTCTTGCTTGAAACCCTGCTTGAAGCCGGTTGTCGTATGATGCCTCCCTTAGTACCCATTTACGGAGTTTAGTCATCTTCAGTACCTGGATGAGTTTCCGTAACTTTACTATGCATTTGTACATTAAAAAAGAGTTTGTACATTAAAAAACAGGGACAGGTTGAAAGATGTGGGCATTGTGGGGGGATCGCCTTTGTCAATCTGATGGCAGACCGCCATTAATATTCAATGAGACACTAGCTACTCCCCCTCTTTATTCACTGTATCCACTGGCCACATTCATTCTCCTCCATTCATCCTCCTCCCTTTGGGATCTAATCCCTAAACCCTAAACCCTTGATACATGATTGCTTCGGCGCAGAACCCTCACACTTTCTAAACTGTGGCAGACGCAACTTCGATTGTACATATCAGCACATACCATCCCTGCTTATATCCCGCCTCCTTGTTTAGTAGTCTGAACCCCTAAGCCCTTGACAATCAGAACGCTGAACCCTATGCACCCACAGACTTCATTGCGGTGAATCTGAGATGTTGCCCATCCATTCTATACACCTTCAGCACATACCATCCCTGCTTATGTCCTGCCTCCCTCCTTAGTAGTCTGAACCCCTAAGCCCTCGAGAAGCAGAACGCTGAAGCCTGTGCGCCCACAGACTTCATTGTGGTGAATCTGAGACGTTGCCCATCCCTTCCATACACCTTTTGTGCTGATGGGGTAGAACCATTGATCTGTGAGTCGCCTGTGTCTGCAGAGTGTTCTGCCGCTCCTTTGAATATGCTTGGTCCTATGTATGCTTCAATTGTCTCTTTGATACTGTTACGTGGCTGCCCTCCGAAGTCGTCATTGGTTGTTACTGAGCAAGTCCACAGTCCACAGTCCCCAGGCTTGTAGCTGCTGCTCCCCACCAATAGATGGAGCCTCCTCCAAGGAAGCTTCAGGCATCTGCTCCTACCAGCCTCTCAAGCTGCTCCCGGGGTTGTTTTCTCAAAAAAAAAAAAAAAAAAAAAAAAAAAAAAAAAAAAAAAANGCAGCAGGAGGAGAAGGGGGAGAATCGACAGCCGCAGGAGGACAAGCTGGAGAATCGACAGCAGCGGGAGGACAAGGGGGAGAATTGACAGCAGCAGAAGGAGAAGTGGGAGAATCGACAGCAGCAGGAGAAGAAGGGGGAGAATCAGAAGCCGGAGGAGATGGGCTAGATTCTAACGTCGAAATTGCCAGCAGACAGTTGAGCTCAAGCTGCGTCAACTTCCGCGAGAGAACGTCTCCCTCTCCTCCTCCTCCTCCTCCTCCTCCTCCTCCTCCTCCAGGGAAGCTCACCACCGTGCCATGGACATTGCGGAGTGAACGCGGGGAAGGGGACAAGGAAGGACGAGGGGAACGCGAGGAGGGACGGCGGCTCACAAGCGCGACCGATCGCCGAGAGAGAGCTTCCTCCAAACCACCTCCCTCCCTCTCCCTCGACCTACCCAGCCGTCGTCTGGTGGGGTCACCTTTAGGTCCGCTGACGCGGGACAACACTTCCCGCTGACGGGAACGGTCTTCTTCTATCTCCTCCAGCTTGGCTCGTGATGCCGAGTCAGGTCGGTCTGTTATCTTCGATCGACAGCAACTGTTCCACCTCCCTCTAGCCACGTTGGCAGAGACACGTGTCTGTCAGTGACAAACTCTCGACAAACCATCTACCCTGCCGCACAAGCTATGGAAAAATACAGCTCACACTGTGCATGCCCTCCCGTGCACCGGCCGAAGCAAGAGGCTCAAACCAGCAAAAGCCAATCTCACGACTAAGACAGCTGGACAGCTCGGACTACGGTAGTTGGCCTCGTTCCGATCTTCTATGGTTGTATACACCATTACCAGCCAGGAGAGACTCTCTGTCTTTTCACTTGAAAAGGCGACTATGTTCGCTGAACACAGCGCTGGTGTGTTGTCTGAGCGGGTGTTTGAGGTCTCGTCTCCTCCCTGCCTTCAAATTGACGCTATCTGCTGCTCTTCGCTGCTACTCTCTCTCTCTCTCTCTCTCTCTCTCTCTCTCTCCTCCCCCTCCTCGCTTCTTGCCCACCATACGTTGTGTGTGTGTGTGTGTGCGTGTGTGTGTAGAAATCCTCTTTGCGCCCTGCCTAGATGCGATCCGCTTTGTAAAATTAAAAAAAAAGGAAAAAAGATGCTATCCGCTCCTCTGCGCCCCCTCTGCGCCCCTCTCGGCTCCCCCTTGGTTGCCTGCCGGCCGTTCAGTCTGTCAACCTCGTCGGACTCCAGTAGCGACTCCCGCGACTGGGCTTCCGCGGTCACTGGCGCAGAACGTCGCTCTGCACGCCAAGCGCTGCGCGCGGCTGTGGCGGTCAAGCCGATTCGATGCCGCGCGAAGTGCCGCCGCGCGGTGGCGCGGAAGGCGGATCATCCGCTTCGCTACGGCCAGTGCCGTGCAGCTCACCTCAGCTCAAGCTTGCTTGCATGGGGGAACAGGAATATCGACGACCAACAGCACACGGTGAAAAGGAATAATTACTGGAGTAAGACTAACGGCCGTCCGATTTTATTTAATTTTTCGCCGGGTAGAGATAAGGCGCCTCGCAGCACTACCGCGCGACAGTGTACCTTCCCGTGTTCAAGGGTAGATTCATTACCGATTTGCACATCTGGTGAGTAGTATTGAAGCGAGGCCCAGGAGCTCGTTTGTGGGGCGCGGCCCCATCCAAGAGAACCACTGCGGATCTCTTTGCTCTTGGACGGACGGGGCCTTTTCGAGACGAATCTGGCCGCAATTATGGCCCCCGTAGGGTGCATCTGACCTTAATTACGTCCACAGCTAAGTAAAAGAAGCCCTAGTGTGAGTATGCCCTCCTTCGTCCGTTGATCTCGGTGATTATCTACGGTCAAGGAACTAATAACTATAAGGTAACTGGGACGGTGGGACCATCTTGCTGATGGGTTCAGAACCTCAACAGCAGGCCAAAAGCAAGCATTCTCGTACCGAGAGCATGCGCACACTAAGGTGAGGTGTGGGCAAAACGCATTTCCCCCGCCCCCGCCCCCCCCGCCCCAGAAGAAAAAAAAAAGAAAGAAACACATTCGCCATTGGTACACGTATGCCCTGACTCTGATCTAAATAGCAGGGCTGTCAGCCTTCCACGAGTGCTTGGAGCTTGATTCGAGAGGGGGAAAAAAGGGTTCAGCTCCCAACAGGAAGGGGGGGAAAGAGGGAAAAAGCGAGTGAAAGGGCGAAAAAAGGGCACAAAGGGAAAAAAGGGGAAAAAGGGACCGAAAACGTTGGTGAGCCGTTACACCTTCACATGTCTTTTCCCTTTTCATAATCTTTTTAAGAAAGATACGCTTTGGAAGGTGACTGTTTGATCCAGCGGCCTAGCTCAGTTGGTAAGGCACGCGAGTGGCATTCAGGAGGTCGTGGGTTCAATCCCCAAAGGCCTCATGTACCTTCCTGGGCATGCTTGGCGCCCGCCACCTAGGCATTGTGCCTTCAACAACCTTTCTCATTTGCATACTGCCCGGACGGCACAGCCCAACAATGCGGTTATCCTCAGTCGACATCAACTGACCGAACCGGTTTGCAGGCTTGGTTCCATTCCCGGGACCCTCTCACATTTGGGACTATGCATCTCGACCGACAACGCCCTACATCCACGACCTGCACTCGTTACCTTTTCCAGTTATTGAAAATCTAGAGCCTACAAATCGCTCAACAAATATCAACGGTTTCCAGTGGGACGACTTGACACTTACCCAGGCTGTAGCACGGTCTCCCCGGTCCGGACGGTCCCACTGCTCTGGCCAGCAACGTTATAAGTAACAGGTGACTGGCCGGCGACAATAGCTTGCGTTCCCTCACGTGCCACGCCCCCCAGAGCCCGGCTGCTCGCAGCATTCATTGCAAATGCGAACCTGCACGCATGCCACACAAGGGTCAGGTCCCACAGTCGTCGAGTCCTCTCCTCGCCTTGTTTTGGCGAAGCGGTCTCTCTGACCGCAGTCCTTTGGGGCATCGGGGGTAATCTCTCTCACCGTAGAACTGGTCGTCGTCACCCAAGTTCGATGTGTTATCGGTCGTCGACGTCACTGGTCGTCGTCATCGTCATCCAAGTTGATTAAGTCACCAGTCGCGGTCAGTCCCCCCTGTCTGTCTTTACACCCTCGGTAAGTCTGTCCTTACCTCACTACTTCTCTTTTGAATCCATCACGAACCCATCTGCCTGCGGTCTGGGAGAACGTCCCACTACCTCAGTCCTTGTCATCCCCCACCAACCCCAAGTCAACCCGCGTGGTAAATCCAATTCTCCCTCCACTTCCCCGTCATTTCATTCCTTCACTAAGGTCGAACCCCCGCTCTTTGACCCCTTCCTTCTCTCATTCTTTCCCTCCAACCTCACCCTCCAATCAGATGAAAAACCTTCTGATGAGAAACTTAGTTGTCTCTTCTTGTCTCTTATCACTCCACTGCTCCCCTCCAACACTTCCCCATCTATCTCAGCCAACGAAAACATCCAAAGAATCTTTGTTCTCGACCCTCCAACAGCTTCAGTCCTTCCTCTCCATCTCTTCGCTGTCCCTCTTATCGTACCAAGTGCTCTCACTTCTCCTCAGTTCACGATTGTTGAGCAGAGATTTGGGTCCAACCTTGTCACTAGCGACCTTCTGGAATTCGTGGAAGACACAGCCTTCTGTACTTTTAAGAACGGCGCTCAATCGTTTTTCTTCCTTCCGAAGGACCACGCGCTTGAACTTCTTTCCCGTTCTTTCTACTCCAATCTCCTACTCTCTCTAATGCTCATCGGGACTCGGAGTCTACATTCTCTTTCTACGCAGGAGCAATCAAGGGCAAGTGATGAATTGGCGAACTTCAAGGAGCAGCACGCGCACGACCTGCGCATCCCATTCTTCTGTTTCGCACTTTGCATCATGTCCGCAAGAGAAGAATCCTCGAGTTATCCGCGGGCTGCTAAGCCTCTCGGGGAACCTACCTTCTATCGGACGTCTGTCGGAGTTCGTCTCGCCACTCACCTTTTTCGTCAAGGGGTTTTTTAAGCAACTCTCCGAGACGGACACGTCGCACCTCCTTCTCTTCCAGCTTCTCCAATCAGGGTCAGGACCCTGGTTTAGGCTCATTACGGATAACGTCTCCGGATCCGTCACCAAGTACATTTCGGCCCCAGACTTCCCAAGGGACCCCTCCTATCCTTCGCAGCTGGCACTTCCCCGTCTCATTATCAAGCGCAGGGAAGCAACGCACATCCTCACCTTCCTCGATCAGGAGGATCATGATGCCGCTGAAGAAGAAGACCAATGAATCTTCCTCTAGACGAAGACTCCGCTGTAGATTTGTCGACTACGCATCTGAATCGGAATCCCCCTCTCTTGGGCGGTCAATTCCTGTCCGGCAGCTGCTCATCATTCCGCGTCTGCAACCATCGTCACCCCAACATGCTCCTACTCTCACAGTCAACCCTACCCCCCCTAAAACTCCTCGTCAAAGAAGAAGGCCGCAGGTTTTCAGATGCCTCGAATATTTTTTCCTTCTCTCTATAATCGTTCTTTTCTTCCTCATCTTCCTCCTTTACTTCCTTGTCCTCTTCAAGCACCACACCCGACTTCCCTTTCTCCCTCCCTAACACCTTCCTCTCACTCACTTACCATAATGCAATACATCGCTTTGACCCTACCTATCTCTTCCTTTCTTCGCTTCCCTTTTTCTCCTTCCTCCTTTTCACTCTTCCTTTCACCTCTTCTCTTCCCCTCTTCCTCTCCTCAACTCTACCCTCTCCCCTACCATCCCCGCAATCTTCACTAAATGGTCAGGACATTATCCTGAATTCGCATAGATTGACAGTCACCTATCTGGTGACTCTTCTCATAGTGTTTTCAATTACCATGGATTTTCGTAATATCTAGTGACTCGTAATAATTGTAATTTTGCATAAGAGGGCGATCACTTCAAACCTAAGGTGCCACATGAAAAACTTGATGTAAGATTTCAAGTTGTCAAGAGGGGAGACGAATCTGACAGCCCTCCATCTTGCAGCCATACGTGTTTTTTATGGAAAACATCATAATAAATGTATGCACAAGCTATTCTACTCCAACTCCTTATTTAAAAAAAAAAAAAAAAAAAGAGGGAAACAAACCCGACCCCTTGTTATCATTATTTTTCCTTTGCAATATACTTCTCAAATGTAAAAAAAAAAAAAAAAGGAAAACCAGCAAGCAGGACAGCTGTCTCTTATACACATCTAGATGTGTATAAGAGACAGCACACACACACACCACACACACACACACACACACACACACGTACGTACACACACACATGTACGTACACACACACACACACATGTACGTACACACACGTACGTACACACACACACACACGTGCGCGCGAACCCGCTGTTTCTTTTTTTTTCCTTTTTTTTTTTTTTTTGATTGATTGATTGATTGATTGGTGCGGAAGGGGTCGCCCTTCCCCCCTGCACACACACAAACATGAAAAATAAAAATTTTCCTTTTTTTTTATTATGTTTCTTTTGATTAAAATACCTGTTTTTTGGTTTTCTATTTTTAAAAAATGAAAAAACAATTCATAATCCAAAACAAAAAATATAGGGTTGTAGGTATCTTCAAACCCTACAACCCCATTTGTTTTTTTTTTTGGTCCATTAGTTTTATTTTTTTTAAATATATGAATTTCTCCGTCGCACCCAACCGCAGGGGCCATGCCCTGCGGTCGGGATCATAGGGTGTACCAACTGAGCTTGGCCCATGGGTTCCATCAGCGTTCCCGGAACCGGTACTGGACCTGTGTCCCAGAACTGGAACCGGTGAGTATAAAAATGAATAAAATAAAATAAATAAACACGAGGACAGGGAGGAGGGAGCACCGCTGAACGGGCAGTCGGGCCTGTGCCCGGAACTGGCTGCAAAACCGAGAGGGATAGTCTCACTAAACCCTAAACGCCTCAGTTCACTTCAATCGAGCTCAATGCCTCAGTTCACTTCAATCATGCTCCATTGCTCCCTCGTCGCTGGTTGGCGTCAATCCTCGTACCTGTAGATTGAAAGCCAAGTGTCCTAACCAATAAGGCTAGGCCCAAGTTTGAGTATAGCAGGCACATAAATACCATATAACTAGCTTCTGCGCCGTGTGTGGGCCTACCGAAACACCCCAAGGCCACACCTTGGCCTACCGGCCGAGCCCACGGTCATGGAACCTCGGCGCTGGTCGCATGGAGGTTTGGTCCCCATTTACATCGGCCACACAAATGGCAGGGACCGTCTTGGATGCCGGCCTCCGCAAGGTACCCACTTTTCCAAGGTCATACCTCCACTACTCCGTCAGGCGAAGATTCCAACCTTAAAGTTTGTGTTTGAAATTCATCTACGCAGGCCTCGCCGAAGTTGTAAGGGACCTCCATTGAAAAGCCAAAAAGTACAAAAATTAAAAGCCCTACGGACCTGGCATTACGCAGACCCAAACGCCGCCTCAAGCAAGTCGACGGTAATCACCTCCAATCGCGGCACCGGTAGTCAACCTTGACGTTGGCTGCGACAATGCAGACGTCTACGCGCGCGCACTGCGTGCGTGCGGTCTTACTAATGAAAAAACTAATCTTTCGCTAGTCCGCATTACCTCGCAAGGTCACTAACTCTGCTGCTTGATCGCGGCAAACATCAAGGTAGTCAACGCGTGCCCCAAAGTGCACACCCACACTCTCTCTGTCCTAACCTTGCACACTCTCGACTACTGAGAGTTGGTTGCGGGCCACACAAAACTTAAGTTTAACGTGTCACTCCAACTCACTCGTCAACTATCATCACAAACGCGTCTCGTGCGAGACGCAAGAGCACGCACAAATACCCTTGTAAGGGTAATATGGCCTCGAGTGGCACAACGGCCACGAGCAGCAGGACGACCACGATCTGCGCTCAAATGCACACAATCACCATGACAAGGGGCACTCCTCGTGACTCCTGCAGAGGTGAAGAAGGCCGGCGTGACACAGATGACGAGCACGAGGAGCACCATAACTTGAAAGATTTGCGACTTGCAATGAACACAATGTGCGGTGATAGGGCTGCTCCACCACTTACCAAATTACTTTTGCAAATTGAGAATGAACCTTCCACTGGAACCAAGGCAGGCACATCCCACTCCACTACTCGCCAAACCTTCAAAGTGAAAACGAACACGCTCCTGGGATACGACCAGATGCACTAACAGCCATTTCGTCAAAACGGACATATTATATTTTTTGAACGAAATCAAAACTGACTTTTTTTACCAAAATCCGGCCACTGTGATTGTGTTGACTTGTCGACGTGGTACCCAATCCGGCTTCCTCATAGTAATAGTGGCGCTCTTCGGGCAAGTGAACAGCCATTTCGTCAAAACGGACATATTATATTTTTTGAACGAAATCAAAACTGACTTTTTTTGCCAAAATCTGGTGGGAATTTTTTGCTCCTGGGGGTCCGGCGTTCCCAAAACGCCGGACCCCCTACATGTATCTGGTCTATGGTTGAGACCAGATACMA